TTTTAAGCTGCTCAATGGGTGCATTTCCAAAATATTGAAATCAAGAGATCTGTCGTCTAGTAATTGAGAGTCAGGTCCAGCAGTTTTCCCATAGTTGACTCCAGCATCTCTGTGAGAAACACTCAAAGCCCTCTCATGCAAAAAATGTGTGTAAATATTGAAGTAACCACGAGATTGAATAAATTTGATGAACCAAGGAGTCCATATTCTCTCTCCCATTTTTTTGTACCACCCTGTAGTCACCTGCACAAGGTTTTAGAACTGAACTTAGGTACAAACTGCTGGCTGACATAACAAAGTTAGGTGGCCAACGAAAACTAGTAATGGGATGAAAGAGAGGAAAGATTTTTTAAAAGATAAAAAAGGTGAAGACTTATGATTACCATCCCCTCAAGAAATGGCCTTATGTCCTTTGACTTGTTCTTGTCATACCACAACCTAAACTCTTTCCATGGCTTTGGAAAGAGAATTTGACCCCATGTGCCAACCAATTGATACAAGAAAAGCCTTGTCCTATCATCCAATTGCAATTTGTTTCCATGTTTACCTGAGTTGGAAACCAATGGTTATTAGTAACCATTATTTAATAGAAGTTATGAAGGTTTAGCAATCATCAAGGACCGTAGTCCACAAACAGTCCTGGAGCGAATATATGGTCTTATTTCTAACTAACATGATATGACGAGAAGCAAATTAAAAACTTTCAGGACTCAATTATGTAGGAATAGGATTCAAGAACTAAACAGTGAGGCAAATGTTTTTAAAAGCTAATAAGTGTATTTCCCAAGTAGTTTATGATAAACCAACAGAAGAAAATTACCAAGGGAAAGAATAACTTAGTGAAAACGAGGAAAGTCACACAGCATTCTTGCCAAACAGTTTGACCATTCCCTAGCTTGTAATAACCATAACCAATTCTAAAATCACACAAGGTGCAAGTAGGTGGAAGTTCTTTTCGCTTCTCAGTCGTCTACATCTATACAACGGCTAAGCCCCAAATCCACAATATATCGTGAAGGAAATAGTCACACGCAACCAGAGGAGTTCCCTTTCACCAAAACATCATATGCTCATGATGCCAAGTTTTAACTTTTTATGCTATGAGAATAACTTGTATTGATATTCTGACTAAAGATCCATACCAAGCTTGCTTGAGGAAACACAATACACTGCATGCGCTCCCATCTAATTACCCCCCCCCCCCCCAATGTATAATTAACAGGTTTGACCATGACTAACGGCTAGAATAAGGAATTGAATTAGTTAGCAAAGACCAGATTGCTCACTTGAAAGAGAATATATAAAGTCATTTCTATCCGAATTCTCTCAACTTCTAACACAGACAATATCATCTAAGAAGCTGACATATTTATGGAATATTTAACTTCAATCACTTTCAACAAAACAAGTGAAGCTTTTCTAATTTCTAAAGGTGAAAAATATGAGATAATAGTACCTGGAACAAACCTTGGTCGCTGCAGTGAAGCTCCATATATTGATGGACTATAATTCGAAGCATTGTAGTAGAAATTCACAATCAAGCTCTTAATGAACTCATAATAAAGCGGCGAAATCTCCAAATCATCTTCAACAATAAAAGCAAACTCGTTATCAGAACTTGGCCACCACGCCTCCAACCACTGCGCTTGCAAACCCACGTTGGTCGTTCGATAATGCACGAGCTTATCACCGAATTTCCAATCAAATCCATCAACAAATTCCAAAATCCTACGCAATTCCTTTAATTTTTGATCCACTGTAGTAGACGACCCATTTTGGTGGGTGAAATGGTCGATGTACACATGGAGGTTGACACGATCACCAAGGTAATCGGCATTGGCCAAGGACTGGAGGCACCGAGAGACTGAATCGAGGCGGTTAAAGGCAAGAACTTTGACGATGAAAGAAAAATTGGTTAAACTGGGCTTATAGTTTTGAGCGTGGATGGGATTAGAGACAGTGAAAGTAGGGTTAAACTCAGAGGTTGAAAGTGGGAGAGAGGAGTGGTAGTAGGAGTAAAAGAAGAAAGCAGTAAGAGAGATGAGAACGAGAGGCAGGAAATGTCTTTTAGGTCCCACCATTGTCGTTAAGGTTTCATGGAGATTCAAACTATGGGATGGAACGTGAAGGCTCTCTCCCTCGCTGGTTACTTGGGAGGGGGGAGGGGGGCGATGAGGAAGAAGCCGAAGATAGATCCTTGGCGATGCGGCGTCCTCTGCAGAATGGTTTGTGCTTTTTTTTTTTTTTTTTTTTCCGAAATTATAAATTTAACTCTACTTATTTTCGTTTTTATTCAATTGTTGATGGTTGATTCTTAATTTTCTTAATTTTTGTAAATCATGTTCATTATTTTATCTTATTAAAATTTAAAAATCATTTTAGAATTTTAAAGTTAAATATTATTGAAATCTGAATTAATTCTCATGTGACCAGTTAAATAATCACTTTGCCATTATAAAGAAAAATTACCTTGCTCATTTTAACTATATATTTATGAAGTCGGCAAAAAACACTGTATATTTATGAAAGAAAATTAAGAATATAAATATAAAAGGAATAAGTTAAAAAGAAAATGGCAAACAAAAAGTTAAAAATTACTAAATTCTAAATAAAAAATTTCAATAAAAAGTTGTTATTATTTGCAAATTTAGTGTTCTCAACACCAAATAAAATTATGTTACCAAACATAATTTGAAATTTAATAATTTTTAAATTTTTTTTATTTTTTCTAAGTTAAATAAAAGTTCATTAAACTTTTTTCTTTGTTTATCCTCTCGTGTTTATAAAGTTTTCAAAGGTAATTTTTTTAAAAAAAAATTTTAAATATTTTTTTTTGCTACGTATATGTATCATCTATTGAAGACAATTATATTTAAAGCACTATCTGACACTAAATGTAAGCATTTTTCTTAATAAGAATTTAAATATTGGTTGGTCACGTTGTGAAAAATTAGTTACTTTTGTAAAATCCAATTCTATTAATTAATTATCCAAATATAATTAATTAATAAGAAGATAGCTCAAGTCATTTCATTAAGAATAAAGTTTAGAGAGATTCCAACACAATTTACATAGACCAAACATTAGGAAGGCCTTTAAATTTGTATAGAATGTTAACTTAAAATAAAAAAAATACTACTTTCGGTTCTAAATATAAGAGTTAGTTAATAGTTTTAAATATAAGATTTCAATCCATTTTGTCTTTCAAATTTATAATGCGTTCTTTACAAATAATTAACTTAATTAATTTTGTTAGTCTTTTCCAAATTAATTATCTAACTCTTATATTAATAAACGAAAATAGTATTATTGGTAATGATGATCACTAAGTAATCATTCTATGTCCAACTCCAACCTAAAAGAAATTTCAATCTAATTGATGTCATAGCCACAGCTAACTCTTGTTCATATAGTTAAATGCCTTGTCTTCTACTTCACATTCTTTTCTGTATTTAAGAGTACCAAAGTCTAACAAGCCATCTCTTTATAATCCTTGACTGACTTTACAATATGATCTGGTCAACTAATTAAGATCTTTAATTCAAGTAGCCAAATTAAAGAAAAATTTTTTTATGCTCCAATAGCATAAGTCATTTCAACTAATTCGTTAAAATAAAAAAATGGTAATCAATTCACTAAATTTATCTTAAATAGAATTTTTTTTTCGATTTTATTCATATCAAATGAGGTTATGAAAAAGAGAGGGAAATATAAAAAGTCATATTTAAGTATTAATTTTTTTTACCAGACATATTTAAGTATTAATTACAAGAATAAAACTGAACAATAAACATTAATTATTTTCTAAATGACTTATATTTTGGACCAAGTCATTCTTTTACCCTATGTTTGTTATGAGAAAAATGGAGAGGAGGGGAAGAAAAGAAAAATTTTAATAATCTTGATTTGAAAAATCAGAGAAGTGGGGTTTTAAAATTTACATAAGAAAAAACTATAAGATAAAAGAGTAATACTAATTAATTAAAAGCTTTTAACCACATATTTTTTTATTTTTTAAATCAAATTTATTAAAAATTTTCCTCCGTTCCTCTCCCCGTCATTTCCTTCTTACCAATCAGACCCTTAGAAGCGACATATATTTTGGAATGAAGAGAGTATTTAATAATCTATATTTATTATATTTTACAAACATATAAAATTTATTAGTTTTATTTTTTATATTTATTAGTTTTAAATTTTTCATTTGAAAATTATTATACGATTATTTTAAATAATATGGATGATATATACCTAGAAAAAAAGAATGATGATCAATTAGAAAAGTAAATTTGAGTTTAAAGCCTGAAAATGATAACCTCAGACGAAGTTAGGAACGAGCAGGCATTTTATTCCAAGTAATAATTTATTATTATACTCCTAATAACATAAAACAATAAGTTAAAATTTTATGAAAATAGGAGAACAGTTAAAAAAATAATAAATAATACTAAACATATTTTTTTCCCTAACACTGCATAGGGTATGAGAATTGAGAAATGAAATAGATTATTTTCACAATTTTTGTTAAGAACAACAAGTAAATAATTATTTTTTATGATGATTAATTATATATTTTTATTGGAAAATATAGATATATCATTGAGAAAATTTTCTATTACAGTAGAGATGCATGACATTACATGTTGCGTAAGATTAGAAAAAAGAGCCGACTAAAATGGACTTTGTTATAAATTTTATATATCTTAAGTTGATTGATGAGGATTAAATACGCTAATACAGTAATCTTACGTACCTTGGCCGGTCGGGCCGCCTGCAGAGTTCTTGGTTTAAAGCATAAGGCATCATAGTTCACAACAAAACACATCACAGAATCCCATAATCAGTTGAAGCTGTTCGTCAGTGTGTCCCCTTCGATCGGAACAACCATAAACGTTAAGGTTTACGCACAAGAACTAACGGCCTTGGACGGCGCCGTCCACTATTCCCCTTTCTCTTCTCTTCACTTTTCTCTTTTCAAAAAGCAAAGTTTCCATCTTTCTTTCATTATTCTCTTCCCCAACCCTTTCTCTCTCTCTCTCTAAAGCATTGTTCTGTCGTAGCCTCGTAGGATCATCACCAATTGGAGCTAGCCCTTTGCCTCTGATCCAACAATCTCAAGCCTAACTGAGCCTACTATTTATCTTCTCATGATCTGTAATTCCTACTTTCCATTTTTTCTTTTTTTGAATTTTTTTTGGTCTGGGGTAGCTTTTTCTTGATTACTTCAGCTCAAAACCACAGGAAAAGTGAAGTTAAAACAATTGATAAGTAAAGGAAACACGGACATATAGGGTTTAGCTGGTTTTTCTTCCAATCATTAGCCTTGACTTCCACAAGCTTAATGGGTAGTGTGATATCTCAATTTAGAAGTTTTTGATTTTGGCTGTGTTTCTTAAACTGAATGTTTTTCTTCTTTAGATATATTTTCTTCAAACTTAAGTTCTGAACTGTAACCAGCTCAATTGTAGTAGCTAAAGGTTGTATTTTGTGATGGACATAGAGTGAATAACTCGGAACAATGACGAGGGTGTCCCGTGATTTTGGTGACACTATGCAAAAGGAGGCGGTGCCTGTGGTTTCAGCAGATGTGATATTCGCTTCTAATAGGTTTCCTAGTTACAAAATTGGAGCTAACAATCAGATCATAGAGACAAAGGATGACCCAAAAGTGTTATCTATGAAGGAAGCTGTTGCACGGGAGACCGCACTGCTATTGGAACAGCAGAAACGTCTCTCAGTTCGCGATCTTGCTAGTAAATTTGAGAAGGGTTTAGCTGCTGCTGCTAAGTTATCTGAAGAGGTTTCATACTTTCTATTTAATTTCAAATTTTTATATATTTCAACGTAGTTGTTGGGGTTTTTTCAATTATGTATGCCTAATTTTCAATGTTTTGAATTGAATTGACTAGTTATTAACTTATTATAGTTTGCAGAGAAATTTACTTTCTCATATTATTTAATCTAGTTATATGCTGGAAAAAATGACAGGCTAGACTTAGAGAAGCAGCATCATTAGAAAAACATGTTCTTTTGAACAAGCTTAGAGAGTTGCTTGAATCCTTGAAAGGGCGTGTGGCTGGCAGAAACAAGGAGGAAGTAGAGGATGCTATTGCAATGGTTAGTTTCTACATTTTTTGTACTGCATTGCTCTTTTGTTGTCTTTGTACACAATAAACATCTGAATGTATGTATTTCACTATTGCCACGACTTTGCACGACTCTAATTTTTATTTTGGAGTTCGTCAGTGGTTAGGCTGGATTCAACTTAAAGTTTTTCTTGACCCCTTGTTCCTGTTAGCATGAAAAAGTATAGCTTTTAAATCTGGAGTTAATTATTTTTGTTCTTAGTGTGTCGATCAAATTGCTTTGGTGTAGTATGTTCAGGAGATATAACATCAATGCCAATTTCTGCATAATATTCATTTTTTTAATGGAATATTCTGCTTTTGTTGTGTCTGAAGTAGTTTCATTGACGAATGTCACTTATGATTGAAAAGCTTTAATATCATAATGCCTTCCGTTTTTTTCTTTCAAGAAAGATTGTGTGTCTGTGTGTGAAGTACTTTAATTGACAAATGTCAGTCATGATTGAAAAGCTTTGACACCATCACTCCTCCCATTTATTTTCTTATTGAATGCGCGTGTGAAGCTTTGAAAAATGAAAGCAAAACACTTTCACCATCAAGCCACAGGTTCAATAGGCTACTTAAACTCCCTTTTAATGAGTGGTTTTGTAACTTGTTGCATTTCTTCTTCAGGTTGAAGCTCTAGCAGTTCAATTAAGCCAAAGGGAAGGGGAATTAATACAAGAAAAGGCAGAGGTGAAGAAGCTTGCAAGTTTTCTTAAGCAGGTGATTTAAACTTAATGGAGTGGTGGGAAATCTGTATTTATCTTTTTGGGTGAAAATTGATCAGATGTTTGAAACTAAGACCTCTTGCTAAACTACTTGCACCCCTCACCACTATATCACACCTATTATCTTGTCTTTTTCCCTTCTTAATTATAACTGGGATTGTCCTTTTTCTATATCCTACATAAGGAATTTCTTTGTCCATTGTTGAAATCTTGAATTTGATTACAGGCCTCTGAAGATGCTAAGAAACTTGTAGATGAGGAAAGAGCTTTTGCTCGTTCTGAAATTGAGAATGCCAGAGCAGCAGTTCAGAGAGTTGAAGAGGCTCTTCAGGAGCATGAGAGAATGAATCGAGCTATTGGGAAGCAGGTTTGTGCTATTTGCTTTTCTTGTTGAACCCTATTTTCTTGATTATGTATTTTGTGCCAATACTTTTGTTTAATAGTCTAACTAATGCATGAAGTCAAGATCAAAACTTAAACTCAGTGCATGTTTGAATTTGCAAAGTTATACTTAGTTTGGCCAAGGTGCATATTTGCATTTGGTGGTTTTCATGAATTCTGTGATTCATTCCTAATCTATTTGGAACTTGGAGAAGGAAAGGTTTAACGACTATTCTTAAGATGTTCTGTTTTGTTCCCAAATTCCACCATCCCATATGGGCCCTAGAAGTAGGGGGATGGGAATTACAGAATGTTGTAGGAGAGTTAGAACAGGGTTGTGGTCATTAGGGTTGTATAACTGATGCCACTCTAGCTGCATAAAGAGGGAAAGGCTGTATCAGAATCACTTGTAATGGATAAGTTGGAAAGCTGGTGACATACCAGAGATTGGCAATACCACTGTAACATTGGTGTTCTCTCTTAGATTAATGGGAGCCTTCAACTTTTTTAACATGGTTTCCTGTTGGTGGTGTAAAATCCAAAGAGAGGCTGTGGGGCTTAAACTTAAAAGTTCAAACCCTTTTTGCTTGGAAGGGAATGGAAGAGCAATTCAAGTTGTTGAAACTTGAAAGCTTAATATCAGGTTTGAAGGGAATCTTTTTTGGAATTCTTATCTAACTTGTTCTAAGGAATCTTTACTCCTCAGACTTACAAATCTAGACGTGATTTTTCTGATTATCTGATGATTAGATGATGTCCTTTTAGGGAATTACTTTGTACATTCTCTCCATTTAAGGATGTGTTTCCCTTGGTATTTGATATATTATTTATCAAAATATTGGCTGCCAGTAAAACCATTTAAGCTGGGAATAGAGAAGATCTATACCAACTATATGTTTATCATTTTCTGTTTCTGTTGGAAATTTAGGACCTGGAACAATTAATGAAGGAGGTTCATGAGGCTCGAAGAATCAAAATGCTTCATCAGCCAAGCAGGGTATGTGTCGATTAGCTGTTCCTATTTTTGTATCACATGAATATAATTGTGTTTTTCTAAAATTACCTTTTCACTACCTGGTTTTTCCCCCCTGAACAATCAACAATTCCCTTCCATACTTATTGGAAGCTTATATGGGTATGTTACTTGGTGGTCTCAAGTCTCTTAATTATTTTTGTTGGAGAAAAAGAGGCCAGGGATCAGAGTTGAGTTGTCGAGAAAATACTTTATCTATTGCGTTCGTTACCTTTGCTTTAGGTTCAAGGAGACTTTATGTGTGAGGGCATGTTAAGAGGTGTTGAATAAAAAAAAAAAATCCTATAAAAAAAATTCCTTGCCCTATTCTAAGTCCTACCCGTTAAGCTTTTGGGATAAGATATATTGGTGCTTGACACAAACTATGTAACTTCATCTGCAAAGTTATTTTAAGGAACTGAATGCCTTGATTGTTGATATGTTAGGTTATGGATATGGAACTTGAGCTTCGGGCTTTGAGGGCTCAACTAGCTGAGAAGTCTAGACATTATCTTCGACTTCAAAAAGAGGTACTCCTGCCATCATATGCTACGTTGAAGTGCTTATAAATATGAGCAGCATCCTTAACCTCTATAAAATACTCATGTAATTGATGTATGATATAATTATAAAAAAGATTGCTGGTTGTTATTGTTAACATGGTGCTTGATTTCTATATCAGTTTTCTGTTCAACTATATTCTTTAGTATAAATATTTTTGGACATTTCAATTTCTATGTTTGCATTCTTTTGAACTGGGTAACTTTCATTTGGTTTTTGTTCGGGTTGTTGAGAAGCCAATCTGTATGTTATATGAGGATGATGATATAAATATAGTTAGCAATTAATTAGCTGTGGGGAGGGGGATATTAGTGCCTGCATACACAGACCCATTATGTACCCTATGATCATTTGAAGTAATGCATTGAATTGATTCAGTCTCTTTCTATTTCTCTCCTTCCATGTTTTTCTCTCTCAATCCCCTCTGACTTCTTCTCCTCTGTTTCCTCTTTCCTTCTCATTTTCTCCTATTTCCCTTTCTTCCCTCTCATAATGACGATTCTGTTGTCACTTTATCACACAGGAAGATATTTTAAATGGATTATATTTTGATCACTTTTGGGATGACGGGTTTTGTGACATATTGTAGATTTTACATTAACAGTGGGCCATTACAACTATTTATCTTCCAGTAGTTTCCTTGGTTTGCTTAATACCTTCTTGTTTTCTTAGTAACTAATGTTATCTATGGTTCTATGACAATATTCTGTATATAGTGAGCAGTATCATGTTAAACGATACTGCAAATACTCAAATCTAATTAGCATTATTGAAAATATGGTCTTGGAATGCTTTTATCTAAAAAAAAAAAAAAATATGTAAAAGAAAGAAACTGATATTATTTAATGATAACCTTTGGCAATCTATGATTTGTCTAAGAAAGATACTGTGTAAATTGAGGTTCAATCTGTGGTCCTTTAGTGAACTGAAGAATAATTTTCCTCCTGTGCTTTCCAGCTAGCAAGGGCAAAAAGCGGTGAGGAAAATGCTTCTCATTTATATGAACTAGAAGGGACTGAAGCGTTAGGTTCATATTTGCAAATTCAACCCTGTTCTGATAAAGCTCCTGAACTTTCAAAATGTTCAATTCAATGGTATCGTGTATCATCTGAAGGTGCCAAAAAAGAGCTTATTTCAGGTACTGCTGCAAATAATTTTAGCAAATTTTCAAGTTATCATAATATTCTGGTGGTATTGTTTGTGTTCAGTTTGAGCTAGTTTCACTCTTATATTTACAGTCACTCCCAAAAGAGTGTAAGCAGAATGGCATATTTAGTCATCTTATGTTTTCTTCTCTCTCTCTCTCTCTCTCTCTCTCTGTGTGGGATAACGAGTGTTTTTCCCTTTAGTGTTACAGCAAACTAAAGCAATCATTAAGTAGTTATTAGTATTCTTATTAACATTGCATGCTTCCTCCCAATATTACAGTTCTCAGCAACTTTTCTCTAAAGTATAATCTTAAACCTATTGATCGTTATCGCCATATCTGTTGGTCCTTAGTGTCCAGGTCCTGTCAAATTTGTTCAAACTAGAAGTCTGACAAAACCCTTTCTTTAATTTTGCTTCTATTTTAAATTGATGTTTATATTGACTGTCTGTGTATATACAGCCAATATTTTTCAAAATGATGGCGTAATTTTCTTTAAGGGCTGTTTATCATGTTGAATCAACTAATATTAACTAAGGGCGGGGGTTATTTTGTTAGCTTTGTATTGTTCCAATTTTGAGATTGCAGGGTGTTAGTACATGTAATACAACTTTCTCTCTTCCAGGAGCCACGAAACCAGTGTATGCCCCTGAACCTTTCGATGTTCGACGTAAATTGGAAGTTGATATTATCTCAGAAGACCAGCACATCATCTTGTCAACAACTGGTCTGATAGATCCAGGTTTGGTGCTAACTCTGAATCTCCACCAAGCACTTTGATCTAGTACTCATCAATAGGCATGGTTTCTATATGTTTTCAATTTAAAATTTCTACCTCCTCATGTTTTGCGCAATTTTAAGAATGTACATATTTCTTTATGCAATTAAGTTGAAGCTAAAACATTAGTATAATATTCTTTTGCAGCTGCCGGTTTGGGAAACTATGTAGAGGCACTTGTGCGAAAGCATGACACTGAATTCAATGTATGTCACCTTGACTCTTAACTTTCGTTCTTGTAATTGGCTTAGTCTATATGAGCTTTCAATATAAGATGTTGCTGAGCTATTGGTCCTAAATTATATGTACATATCATTTGTTATTGTTATTGTTATGCATATTGTGCAATTGGATATAATAGTTTAAGCTGTAAGTTATGGATGATTGGATTTATGACAATAATATCATAATTGTACTCAACACTTTGTACGTTACAGGTGGTTGTAAGTCAAATGAATGGTTTACATCATTCAACCGAGTCTATTCATGTACTTCATGTTGGAAAGATGAGGATGAAACTTTGTAAAGGAAAGTCAACAATTGCCAAAGAATACTATTCATCTTCAATGCAGGTATTTCAAGTTTTGCATGGCATCCTAGTTATAGACAAAAACCTGTCAGTTAGGGCTGGCCCAACCAAAATTCAATTCAGACTTTCTTCATTTAAGGCTAGAAAGTGACTTATTTTGAGCAGATTTTTGCCATTTAGTTGGTGATGTTTGTCTAAGTTTCTTCTTTTGCTGAAGATAAAGAATTGTTTTTAATGAAGTTATACTGTTTAAATTGATTTAATGGTTAGAATCTATTAAAATGACTGTCATTTTTCCTCTCAAGATTGAGATGATCCTTGTGTCGCCCAACCTAGCCTAGAGAGACCAGGTGGGCAAGCCTTTTGGTTGCGTTTGGTAGAAAGCATTGAAAATGAGGGACTGAGATTATGATTACAATTGAGAAAATCTATTAAAAGAATGTTTAGTATGAGAGATTGCTTGTTATATGGGATTAGTCAAACCTATGTATGTGGGATTAGAGAATACTATGGGGGAAGTGGTATGTTTTGATCCCACCTCTATGAGTTTGCCTAATCCCATATAATAAGTAATTACCCATGCTAAATACTATTCTAATGATTTTTTTCAATTGCAATCCCAATCCTAATCCCTCATTTTCAATGCTTCTTACCAAACGGGACCTTTGTGTCAATGATCAAACAAGTCTCATGGTTTTGTAGGAACCTGACCTTGCATTAGAGTTGACTTTTTTGTTAATCAATTCTATTGTGTCCCTTATAAACTTGAATATGGCCGGCCAACAAGCTTTGTTCATTGTTGTTATTGTTTTTTCATAGCTCTGTGGAGTTCGAGGAGGTGGAAATGCCGCAGCACAAGCACTATTTTGGCAAGCAAAGCCGGGCCAAACATTTGTGTTAGCATTCGAATCAGAGCGAGAAAGGAATGCAGTTATCATGCTTGCAAGGAGGTTTGCATTTGACTGTAATGTACGTGGTTCTGACCTTTCTAAACTGTTCCTTAAATTAAAAGTAAAAATTGTTGGAACTTGACCATTCATCAATGGGTAATTGCCATTTAAAGTCTGTTACACGTATATATTGAACAATTTTATAGTATTCTGAGGATTAAGATGGCAATGACTTGAGAAGACTGAAATTTTTAAGGTCAGCAATGAATGAAACCTAGCTTTCATGAATAAGTAAGGACTAATAGAGGTCTGGATTCTATATATGTCGAGATTTTGTTACGATCAAAAGACTAGCATGGTGGGTGGAAGATCCCCATGTATTTTTACGCACCCTTCATTTGTGAGGCTCCCCAATGTGGGACTCAACAGATTTCAGTCTCATCCTGTCTTAAGCTTTCCATTTCGTGTAAGTGTCGTTCACTCCCTCGGTTGAAATCTTGAACCAAACAAGACTGAAACTCCTTGAACTGTATGGAATCTAATGTCCCAGAAAGGTCTAAACTGATTTTTGCAAAATGACAATAAGGATAAAGTGCATATTTATTTTGAACTTGCCATGATTGGTTGAATGGGAATGTGATATGATGATTGAACATGATAAAGTGCACACTTTTTACAGTATTAATTCTTTTGATTGCCATTGCTGAATTTTGAATGCATAAAAATGCAGATCATGCTTGCCGGACCAGATGACAGAGCTCCATTAGGGACATGAGGTGAAGGTTCTCCTTAAAATCATCAGTCTCTAGAGTTGTGAAGATGTAATTATTTTGAGTTGTTGTATTATAAGTGTGAAGATGTAAGACTGTGAGAGCAGAACATGGCTTGTTATTGTTTTGTGGTGGGGATTCGTGCCTTCTGTGGTTTTGAATCCCTTCATATTATTATTTTTTTTTTCCCTTTTTGGTTAAGTTTGCTTCAACAACACCAAGGCATTTTTTTTGGTTTGCCTTTGTGAGGGATGGTTGAGAAAATTGCAGAGCTTCTTATATCGGAGAATTGGTGTTTGCAATGCTAATTTATTGATTGCGTCTTGGTTTACTGATTATTTCTCATAACTATTCCCCATTAGACGGCAAAAAAAAGAAAAAGAAAAGATAAAAGCAAACATAGGAACGTCCACCGTTGATAATTAAAAATTAAAAATAAATACAAAAGTAATGAGTGTTTGGTGCTCGTGACATTAATTTAATATAATACTCCTTCTCATTTAAAAGATGAGATAAATTTTTGGAAAAATCTCATATAAATACCATTTGAATTCAAAAATTTCAGATTAGTCATTATAATTTTACAAAAAACAAATAAAACTCCAGATATTAAATTGGAATTTATAAATTTTGACAAATTATTTCTATACATTTTCTCTCACTCTTTTTTCGGCTTCTTTCTCTTCATGTTGCAAAAACAGAGAGAGAGTTCTTCTCTCTCCCTTCAAATCCTCTTCTTCGTCAAGGGACAGTCATTGTAAATTTTTTTTTCGTTTAAGCTAAATTAGAGAGAGCTCAACTTTGTTGCTTCTATTTCTGATTTACTTGAAGGAAGTCATGGGAACTAGACCAGCAATTGTAGGTCATCTTCTTTAGAGAGAGAGGGAGGGAAGACATTACTAAATCTTCTTCTTCCTCAACCATGATAGCAGCAAAGTAGATGCTGTTATGGGCATTCTATTTTTCAGACTTACTGCTTGCAAAGTCCTTAGACAACTTGAAATGATTTTTTCATCGGCATCGCATAGACAAACATATCTTTCCAATCAAAGTTTTCTTCCGTTCTGGCCATAGAAAGTCTCTATTTTTCCATATCAAAGTCTTCTATTTTTAGTTACACGTATATTGATAGAAGTGATTCTCATTGTTTTCTTGGTCCTTTTGACTACTCATATCATCTAAAGTCATTAGGTGATGATGGGTTTGTTAGTAAACAAGCTATTCCTTTTATAGATAATGTATAGTGAACGTAATATGTTTTGTGACTTTAATGACAAGAAAATATTAAGTGTTGGTTTAATCGTATTGTGAACTTGTCATTTGAATATATGTAATACAATTGCTGTCATAAGGCTGCTGATTTTTGGTAAATACTATTGTTTTAGTGGTGAATTTCATTGCAAGTGTAATAAATCATAAAAGTTATTATGATGTATTTCGGATCAATTTGTCTCCCATATACTGATTCCTCAAAACATTTACCCCATTGTTTAATTCCCCCGAGAGGTTATACTTGGTGAAAATTGACCAAGTCAAGAGTATGAAAATGGTCAAATACATTTTTCAGATTATCAATCACATTACATGTCTAGTCAATTTGTCTAACTTAACCTCCCAAAAAAAATTGCACCAAATCTGAAAATGACTAATAACATGTTGCAAAACGTGTTATGAAAATAATCATATGCATTTCGTAAGTTGTTAATCACATTACACATTTAGTAAAATTGTCTGAAAATGGCTAATAATAGGTTGCAAAATGCATTATGGAGATAATTAATTTCATTTTGCAAATTGTCAATCACATTACAAGTTTAGTAAAATCGTTTAGAAATTGTTAATAACAGGTTGCAAAACGCATTATGGAATAGTCATATTCATTTTGCAAGTTGTCACTCACGTTACATGTTTAGTAAAATTGTCTGAAAATGACTAATAACAGGTTGCAAAATGCATCATGAAATTCATTTTACAAGTTGTTTATCACACTACATATTTAGTAAAATTGTTTGAAAATGGCTAATAACAGGTTACAAAATATAGTATGGAAATGGGTACTTTCATTTCATAAGTAGTTAGTCACGTTACATGTTTAGTAATTTTGTTTAACTCAATTTCTTGAATTTCACTTAGTTTGTTAATGGCCAATAACAAATTGCAAAACACATTATAAAAATAGTCAAATTCAATTTGAAAGTTGTCAATTACTCTGCAAAACCTGCTGATGCTTTTCATTTTATTTTAGTAGTAGTTTAGTCTTTTCGTCAAACTTTGCAAATCCCAGATTCCTACCCCATGTCCATTTCGTCCTTTTACTTATTTACATGACCCATTTGTCTTTTTAAATTTCAAAAGGTATTTTTTGTTATTTTCCTAAATTTTTTTTGGAGGGGTTTGATTTTTTATAAACTAACATTCACGTTTATCTATGAGGATATATTTTAGGAAAAAAAAATACATACCTTATATATTTATTGTTTTAAACTAATTTTAACTAATTTATTAATAAACGTAAATGAATAAAGCTTATCTCATATTTTAAACCGAAGGAAGTATATTGGAATATAATGAGGAAAATAGAGGAAGGATTAAATTTGTACACAACTGTATTATTCTGATCCTTTTTTTGTGTGTATTATTAGCTTATTAATTTTTAGAAATTAAAATATACTATACTTTATTTATATATAATATTTATGTATACTAGCTTCTTCTTATTATATATATACTCCTCTGGTCCTAAATATAAGACTCTTATACATACTATAAAGGTGTTATATTTAGGATGTGAAGAATAATTTTTTGAATGAAAATTTGAAATTTATTGTCTCAAGAAAATTAAAAGAATACCCGTTCATAGATATAGCCTCTACTCAACGACCACTTTCTTGGCAGATGGATGGAGATTGGTTAATACTATAAGAAAGCTTTTTTCCCCCCCAGCGAAAAAGCTTCTCTAAATACTCAGCTATGGTAATGCCTTCTCTAGACGCATGATTAGTCCACACCTGCGAATCCGTGTTGAAGGGAGAGTTTGAGACGTTTAAATTTCATTTTCACGACAAAAGCATTTTTAAATTTTAATCCTTTAATATAATCAAATGAAAGATGCTCATGAATTATGTAATATAAATTCTCTATCCTTCAGAAGGTGACGTGGCCTTTCTTCAAACTAAAGTTCAACGATGGAGAAAAAGGGTAGAAATAGAATGAATCTACTTGCCAACGATGACGCCTGGTTTGGATAAACCTAGCTAGCTTCTTCATAAACTGTACTGAGACTATTATAACATGGTTTGGATTGAGGTTTGAGAGAATCCAAACATAGCGATAAATATAATTGGAAGTTGGAAAGTTGAGTAGAGCCATGTAATCCAGAATTACACAGTATTATGTAATTTCAATTTCATATTTCATACCAATGTTTTAAGAACCGGACCGGACCGGACGGTCGAACCGGTTGAACCGTGACCCGGACTCGTTAACGGCTCGGTTTGGACCAAAAAACCGTTCATATAGTTGAGCCGGATTGGACCGGAGTTGAGCCGTTATTAAGCCGGAAACCGGAGTTGGACCGGGAACCGGAACGGTTTTCTGAAAACCGGACGGTTTTTTAGCCTGACTGAAAAAATACTAAAAATTTAAAAAAAAAAATAGAAGAAAAATAAAAAAATTGATCCCCTTAAATATCCTAATATATTTTTAGACTATTTATAACCATAGAGTATTATTTCATTGAAAATTTCATATATTGTGGTGTTAAAATCGTAAGTCGCTAGTCTTTTTGTTTTGATATTTGGTCTATCGTTTAAAAAAATATTTTGATTTGAATGAATTGATAATTTGTAATATCATTAAATATTTTAAACATACATAAATTTAAATATATAAGGTTTTAGTCCATTTTCAATGATTTCATTATAATTTTAGATTATTTAAATGCATTTCTAAATTATTTAATAATTTGATATTTTTCATATATACTAATTATATGTATATAATATTGTTTTAAATTAATTATTGCATCACCGGTCTGACCAAACGGTCCGACCAATCCGACCGATTGAACCATGACCCGTTGATCTTTCCGGTTCGACTTCCGGTCCGGCTTTTAAAACATTGTTTCATACACACCCAAAAGTCCGAAGGGTGGGAGCGGGGAGGGTAGTTGGTGACGACAAAACCACTTCACCCTCACCAACCCCGTTAGCGCACTCCACCAACCTTCATCTCCAACTCATTTTAAATTCCGATTCAGGGGTCTTCCCATTTCTGAAATTTTTTTTCAGTTTCTTCCTTCTAAAAGGTCTCTTCTTGAAGATGGGCACCGGGCGTAAGTCCTACACGTTAGCTGAGGTCTCTCAGCACAACCACCGCCACGATTGCTGGATCATCATTGGCGGCAAGGTATCTATCTATCTATCTGTCCAATGTATAATTGGGTTTGCGGTTTTAGTGTGTGTAATTTGATTTTACTTCGATGCTCTTTGGAAATCTGGAATGAGATTCACTGGGAATCAACTCATGCAATGACTCAGTTGGATCCAGTGAGCATCATGTCGAATCGGCTGAATCTGCACTTGAATGCAGTATTTCTTTTTTTGTTTTTGATCATATGGATTTTTGGTTGACTTGCTCCTCTTTGATGCTTTCAACAATAACTCATTTTATTGTGTCCATGAGACGACAGAGAACTGCATTGAAGCACTATATGTTAAGATTATGTTGTTATGTGTGCTGATATCAGTGCTTCTTGGCTTGTTCATGGTGTTAAACTCCTTACTTACCCCCTAATTTACACGATTTGGCTTTTGGGTGATTGCTTCTGCTGCTTGGTATAGTTGGAGTTAGTTGTACTGAAAAGGAGAGCATGGTTAGAAGGTCAGGCTGGAAATAAGGCATGATTGATTTATTTGGTAGGAGTGAGTGTATGGAGTGGAAGTAACGGCCAAGAATTTGACTTTGTATCTAAAGGTGCATGCTTTGATAGATAGACTACTTGTCATTTATTCTCCAACTACTCTTTCCTTCGTTCTGCATAACATACCCCTAAGGTCCTGCCCAAAAGTCTTGTTTGGTACATATGGCTAAGATGATGTGGCTTTGGGGTGGTTCTCTTGGTCACTTTTGCGTTGA